CATGTTTTATATACATACACAAATAAATAAAATATAAATTATACATCATGAAGCCCTTCATTTGCATCAGATTTAAATATCCGATAACTTTCTCGATCACTATCCAAGGTCATAACGATTTCAATAGGTTTATCCAAATTAATAATTCTCTCACTGTTGATGGAAGTTGGCAATTTCTCATCTGCGACTGCTTCCTTGATAATATAATTTAAAATGTCCACCAAGTTAACTATATTAACAATCTCTTCTGAAACATGTGAATAAATTGGTAATGAAGTGATATTATTATCTGCCATGGTTTTTAAAGCACTTCTAACCGAAATGATCGGTTTGGCTGCAATGAGTCCCAAGTTTTTTGCAGTGTCTTTAATTTCTAAAGGTATAACTTCAGATAATTTTTTAGTCGACATTTTTTATCAACAGATGTTGATCGACCAATGAAATTCATCTGTTATATAGGGAAATTTGAATTCCATATGATCACGTGCTTGTAGAAAGTAATGGGGTACGGAAAATAGAACTCCGAAAATCTTGCATGAATTAATATTAATTAGCTGTGGATTATTGTTTTGTGATTATTTATTGGATAATAATAATATCTTGGCATACTGCAAAGTGAACATTGGTATTACCAAAAATTCCAGGGGCCAGTAATGTTTGTTTAACATCAGGGTGGCTGCATAACTCAAATGAGCACTTGGCTAAACTGACTAAACTATTTAGTCATACTTTAAGTCGAGTTTAGTCAAGTTTAGTCAAGATGATTATTACTAAATTAGGTTTTTAACCCCTTTACAAAAATAGTTAATATGAAACTCATTATATACATTAATCAGATCATAATCGTGTAGTTTGCCTTTTTTTTTGCCTTTTTTTTTGTCGATTAATATTAATCACGTCTGAAATTTGTCACCGAAAATATATATATTATCCATATTTATATTTTTGTGACCTGCCGTATTTTTATATCACTTACCTAAAAATTTTAAAAACTTATGATTTTTTTTTTTCGAATTAATTAAAAAATTCGGCTAATTTTTTTTCTTTATAAAAATACGGCAGGTCACCAAAAATATATTCTTCAATTAAATATGGACATAAAAATCCGGCAGATCCCCGAAAATATATTTTTTAATAAAATGGCAGGTCACCAAAAATATATATTAATATATATTTTTTTTATAAATTATTACTATAATAAAAATATGACAGGCTAAAAATAATTTTTTTATTAGCATTGATGTTAATTAGAGAATAATATATTTTTGGTGACAAATTTCTTATGTGATAAATATTGATTGATAAAAAAAAGGCAAACTACACAATTATCATCAGATCTACTATGGAACCCAAGGATTACAGTACAATTAGAAGTATTTTAAAAAAGGAACAAGGTGAAAAAGTAGCTCTCTGACATTTTCAAATGACACCCAGACACTAAAAGCTTATCTAAAAAAGGAGAGGATTGCTTATGAAATTTACCAAGAAGAAAGAATCCCATAACCAGTAAAAGAAAAGAAAATTTGAAGGGAAATAATTTACTGCCTAACTTATCTTTTAAAGATCAAAGGAATTAAAAAGATTTGGGGAAAAAAGAATTAATGTGAGTTGGTTTGATCTGCTTAAGAGTATATGGGGCATGGACAATAGAAACAGCCAAACATCAAAATCACAATTTTGAGTAATCGAAAAAAAAGATCTACATTTCAAGTAATTACCTATTGTTTTTAAGAACTTTAACAGAAAATAACTCAAAATTTTATTAAGCAAAGTGGATATAGTTTCTAAGCTAAAATTAATCTCTGTAATAAATTTCATGTAGAAATGCTGTTAACTCAAAATCATGATTTTTGACATTTGGGTTGCTTCTATTGTCCATGCCCCATATAACAAAATTGAGAAAAATTATTCCAAATTGGGATAGAAAAGCATAATGGAAATTTGAAATGTTACACTAATTTTTTATATTGTGCAACGTAGCTTTACAATACACGGCAAACATTCTGGCAATAAAAAGTAAGTGATAAACTGGATTTGAATTGGATCTGAACTTGATCTCCAATTTAGAAAGGTAACGACTATATACTGGCGAAGTTTCAGAAGCAATGAGTTCTGTATAACGTTTCGTGTAACAACAAACTTCCACTATGCTGGATAGAAATGTAAGGAATTTATTTGGTCAGATGATGAGTATGGTGTAACTAAAAAAACTAAAAATACCCAATCTATATATCAGTCAGGGAATATGCTAAATATGGAAATCGATTCTGGAAAAATTGTAATCCTTTTTGTTGATCAATTCATATATATTACAAATACTTTTGTATATGTTGAACAAAAAAATTTTTTTAATAAAATTCATATATAAAAGTTGAAACAAATTCTTCTGAATATATAACCTGAGGATCTCTAAGAATCCCTGCAAATTTTACAAGATATAAAAAGCTATTAGTTGAAGAAAATTTCATTTTTTTCATTATTTAAGTTCACATTCAAAGTTATTTATCATTTCTTGTAACTTTATACAAAAATTCTTAATAACCATAGGAATAAATAAAATAGAACTTCTAGTTTCTAAGATCTTTTAATAGTAAGTTCTTGATCTCATGTATTGATTTAAAAAAATAATTTTGTTAACCAACTATACAAATTTCTTATTAATAGTAACCATAGGGATATATAGAACGAACTTCTAGTTGTCTATTAATGAATATGCCATAAGTTTGCTTTTATCTAAATTTACAAACATTTACATGTAAGGATTACTTAAAAAAAATTTTTTTTTAAATAACTTATTTATATTTTTTTTTTTTTTGCTAAAGTGAGGCCTTGAAATCACGTTTATTTATTTAAAATTTAATGCATTATTAAAAATTTACAAATTTTTACATGTAATCCTACCCCAATTAACCTATTGTTAATTTAAAGCTAACCTGCCACCTTATTTATATATATATATATAAATTTATAAATTTATTGTTTTATGAATTATTAGGAATATTATACCAATTTTTATATATGTATATATTCAATGGGTAAAGTGAATAATTTAGTCATGATCAGAGAGCATAATTAATATTAATTGATTAATTTTATTATCAATTTTTTTGGATTAAATGAGATATCAATGATATCAATGAATTTGCAGGCAAAGAAAAAAAATTATTGAATTTGTACATCCGGAAAATATAAAAAAATTTTACACGTGTCAATTGTAAGTTTAATAATAAAAAAGTGTAAAACTTACGTCGGCACTGTAAGATTTACACAATATTACGTCGGCATTGTAAGATTTATGCAAGTTTACGCTAAATTAATTTCCTGATGTATACAATATTAAAATCATTTATCAGGTTACTGATTTTTATGTGTGTATATTATATTTAATAGGTAAAAGGAATAACTTGGTCAGTTATAAATTATAAACACATTTATTTGTGTATATTAATTATATTTAATGGTAAAAGAATAACTTGATTGGTTATATTATATTTAATGGTTAAAAGGAATAACATGGTTAGTTATAATTATAAACAAATTTATTTGTGTATATTAATTATATTTAATGGGTAAAAGAATAACTTGTTCGGTTATAATTATAATAAACATTATTTGGGGTATGCTGCAACAAAACCAGACAAAGTGAACATTGGTATTACCCAAGATTTCAGGGATCAAAATTTGTAATGTGATTATAATTTGTTATCTTAAGTGATATATAGAATTATCCCTATATAAAAATAGTTAATATGAAACTCATTTACATCAGATCTACAATGGAGCCTAAGAATTATAGCACCATTAGAAGTATTTTGAAGGAAGAACAAGGTAAAAAATTGCACCTTATATTTTTAAACTAGCAGATACCAAATCTTTGCAAACATATTTAGACAAAGAAAGGATTACCTATGAAATTTATCAAGAAGAAAGAAAAATAATAAACATTAGGAAAAGAAAGCAGAATGGAGGTGCATTGTTACCTAACAAAAAGCAGAAATCCTTAGAAGGAAAATAATTTTATTATTATGATATGCCCAAAGAATAGGTAATTCTTACAAATGGCTGGGTCCAAGTATTTTCCTCCATGCAAGTGCTCTGACAATTCTTTAACTTATATTTTTATAAATTATTTATGTATTTTTCTATCTTTAGTTGAATTAAAATAAAAATAATTTTCTTTTGTTGTTTAATTCATTGTCGTAAAAAAAATTGCAAGTCATGTGCCCACTAATTTAACATTGGCCCAAGTTATTTATAGAAACAATTAATTGTAACAATTACGATCTAAATCAATGAAAAAAAGAAAAAATAATTGATTTTAAAAGTTTTCAATTTTTTAAAAATGGCTACCATCGAAAAAATTGAAGAACAACTGAAGAAGGCAGAAGAAGAATATAATGAAGCAAAGAAGATGTTAAAACAGTTCAAGGAAGATGGAAAGGTGAGGGAGTTGAACAACCTGGAATATAAGTTGTTGGATGAAGATTGGAAGGACAATAGAGAGAAGAGAAAGTGGGAAAGACAGAAAGGCAGGTTGGAGGAAGAAAAGGCAAGTTGGGAGAAAAGGAAAGATGACTGGGAGAAAGAAGTGTTGGATTGTAGAAGAAAATTACGTGAATTCAAGGGAAAAGGTAATGAACAAATTGCATAAAAAAAAAATATATTTTCCATTTTGTTTATTTATTTACCATTTGTATATTGTTTATGACATTGACTAACTTTTGCTTTTTTTTCTGCATTCTGTAAATTATCTTATTATTCTATATACTTGATCAATTTGCTTATCATTAATAATTATTATGAAATACTACAACCATTTTAGATACAAATGAATTCAAAAAAAAGTATACGCCAAGGCTTGGTAAGAAAATATATACATTCTTTTTATCTCTCTTTTATATTATATATGACTTAATTAATTTATAGATTAGGTGGTATGGGTGTAGTGTTCCATGTCGCAATCCAAAAAAGGAAACAAAATGGTTGTAAAGGTGGTTGCAACCAGTGGTTGCAATCGTTTTTATATGACGCAAAGATGGTAGCAACCATCATCAAAAGTTGCAGCCGGTATCCTTATATGGGTGGAACATCATATGGAGGCAATGAACCTTGGTCAATTTATAGATTAGGTGGTATGGGTGTAGTGTTCCATGTCGCAATCCAAAAAAGGAAACAAAATGGTTGAAAAGGTGGTTGCAACCAGTGGTTGCAATCGTTTTTATATGACGCAAAGATGGTAGCAACCATCATCAAAAGTTGCAGCCGGTATCCTTATATGGGTGGAACATCATATGGAGGCAATGAACCTTGGTCATGGATATGAAGGTATAAATATCTCTGATCCAATCATATGCCAAAGAGCTTTCACAATAAATAAACTGAAAGAATGCTTGTTCAAGGAGAAAATAATTCTAATTTGATCACCACCAATGGCTGGTAAAACTTCACTTGCACAACTTCTTGAAAAACAACTTTTGACTGATTGTCCTGATATGAGAATCATTAGAATTTCATTATTGTGGATGGAGGATGATGATCCAAATTGGAAATTTTCTGACCACTTCAGTTGGCTCATGAGAGGAACTGGTTGGCATCAATTTGTAGCAGAATGTTCACATATTGAAACTGTTTTAATTGTTGATGAGGTACAAAAAATTTATAGGTTAGACTCAGAAAATGCTGAACCACATCATGAAGGAAAGGAATTTTAGAACACATTTAAGGATATCCAACAATATAGTAGACTATATATTGTAGCATTTGCATCTTATGGTTATCATGGTGCATATGATTATAGTCCAAACAGTAATGATATTATGAAAGTTTCACCTTTTCAACTGAGTGAACATAGCACATGGGGATTGAAAGAGATTTGGTTCACTTCTGAAGAATACAATGATTATGTAACAAATTTCTCTAGAAGCAAGTTGAATTTATCATCACAACAGGATGAAGATAATTTGCTAAATTATATTAGACAATGTACTTTATGTCACCCAGGATTAGTCACATTCATATTAAATCACATATTTGAAGGATTTATATCTCAGATTAAACAAAATGGAAAAAGATTAACATTTTCTGAAATATTTAAATATTTAAAATCATATAATTTTTATGCAAATTTAATGGTAAGAAATAATTTATTATTATTGTATTTTTTGAAATTCTGGTTGTAATAATGAATTATTTTCTTTTGTCCAAACCATGATTTTAGGGAACCAGGGCTGCTCTTGGCCTTAAAAACATGGACAAAGATGAAACATATTTATGTGATACTGTATTGTTTAATCCAACTGGAATACCAATCCGTCTTGAGACAGTCCCTAATTATGGACATTTATATAAGACCAATTTATTATCAATTGTAGCTTCTGGGCCCAATTATTATGATAAATTCCTTGATTTTGCAGCTCCTTTACTTAGAGTTGCATATTTGCAAACCAGAGTGGGTTCAACAAATCATTCAACTAAAGCACCAGAAACATTTAGAGATTTTTTGAAATTGACATTTGTCAATATGAATCCTGAAACTCTTTGCAGATCCCTTGGTGTTGGTAGTGATGGTTGTCTTCTAGAAAGGGTATTTCAAATGGAGTTTTATCGCTCTGCTACATATGTTCTTCCACAAGATGTTTTCATTTCAGTTGATGTTGGTGCAGTATTTGGTGATGATGGTTATGTTGATTTTTATGTTGATGATAAAAAAGATTGGGCAATTGAACTCTTACGTGACAGTCAGAACATTAAAGAACACATTAATAGATTTCAAAAAGGTGGCAAATATGATTCAATCATTGATATTGCCAAAGAATATGTGGTTATCAATATAACCCAGGATAAACGACATTCTTCATCTTTTTCTGGAAAGAACTACATATATATAGAATTTAACCAAGACTTTAATAAGGTGGTTATGAATTTTCCAGATGGGGAGAAAACAGAAATGTCTTTAGGAGGTAGTGGAATATTAAATGTTGAAATGCAAATTTGATTTATGTAAGATAAGTGGACAAGTAAAACAAATGCATATCATCAAATAAATGCTCTTTTTAATTTAGTGTCAAATAAGCATTAAAATAACTAAACTTCATGAAAACAAGGGTTATGAAAATAATTAATACTAATCAAATAAAAATAAAAATAAAGCTGATTTGACTTTCTTCTGTCTTTGATACTAACTTAATTCTTTTATGTTTTAAAGTACATAGGAATCCAAAATACAATAAAAATACAAAATTAAACTAAAATTTCTAAGTTAAAATGGTATCCTTTATGGCAGATACTCCCACCAAGCACTATAAATTATAAATCTGGATGGATTAGTATTTACAACTAAGAAAGGCATCCCAGTCTTAAGATAAAATAATAAATAAAATAATTAAAAATAAAGATGGTTCTGCAACTAGGAAGTTGCACTTAGAGGGGGGTTGACTGTAGTAGCAGTAGCAGTAACATTAATAATAGCAGTAGAATGAGAATGAGATGGCAGTAGTAGTGGTGATATAAGAGGATTGCTATTTTTCACTGGTGGTGATTATCACCACAGGTAATTTCACTGCATGCTGCACCGATGATTATCACCACACAGGTGATTTCACTGCAATACTATGGTGCAGGACACCTAGTCCCTACAACTTTCTGCGCCACAGCGACAGATTTGGGAAAAAATTCCCAATCAAAAAT